CAGCGCTGACTGGCGGATCGGACGGGGGAGGGGGCGGGTACAGCTGGCTCTGCCTCTAGATAGGCAGAGCCAGCTGTCAGTCACGCAGCTGGGCGGATCCCGGCACAATTGTCGGGATCCGCAGTATACTGCGGCGTCTCAGTATACCGCGAGCTGTAGCTCCCTATATACTAAGCTTAGGGTGACGGGAGGACGCTAGTTTGTGTTCTCCCGTTACCCTAAGGAGAACTATGGGGAAAAGCCTTAACCCCATAGTTCTCTTTTAACATACCGAGTACAGTCCTAGCAATGTAATAGTTGTTATATGCCTGAATGTCCATTGGTGGACATAGCTGCCCTTCGTAGTATAAGCCCTGCCCCTGAAAAAGGACACGAAGCAAAAGCAGAAGGGCATTGCTCCTCCCCTTGTGGACTACACAACCTCCTAGGGGCAGGGCTGTACACTGAAGTGGTCTGCTGAATCCACCAAAAGAGTTTACAAATCCGTTTCCTTACCGATAGTAAACATGACTGTGTCTGCGAGCTGCACGTTGTTGATGTTTATCCGTGGGATGAGGCCGATGAGTCCCGGGACGACATCTGAATAGTTGACATCAACAGTCTCCGCGATGGACTGGAAGCCATATAACAAGGCTTCTGTGTGCTGGAGGGAAGAACAATTCCATTATTACTAACGCTGTGTACACACAGTACTGGACACATGGAACACGTTTCAGAATTGTGTACCTGATAAACCACCCCTGACATCCAGGATAGCTCGAGGACCACTATGGCAATACTGCTTTACCTGCCTTCCTCAATCAGCCTGACAATTCCCCCTTAAATTGGTGGTCAGTGCAGAAATGTCCCTTTACATTGGTGGTCTGTGGAGAAATTCCCCCTTACATTGGTGGTCTGTGGAGAAATTCCCCCTTACATTGGTGGTCTGTAAAGAAATGCCCCCTTACATTTGTGGTATGTGGAGAGCTGACCCCTTACATTGGTGGTATGTGGAGAGCTGACCCCCTTACATTGATGGTATGTGCAGAGCTGACCCCCTTACATTGGTGGTATGTGGAGAGCTGACCCCCTTACATTGGTGGTATGTGGAGAGCTGACCCCCTTACAATGGTGGTATGTGGAGAGCAGACCCCTTACATTGGTGGTATGTGGAGAGCAGACCCCTTACATTGGTGGTATGTGGAGAGCAGACCCCCTTACATTGATGGTATGTGCAGAGCTGACCCCTTTACATTGGTGGTATGTGGAGAGCTGACCCCCTTACATTGGTGGTATGTGGAGAGCTGACCCCCCTTACATTGGTGGTCAGCAGGGAAATGTTCCATTACAGTGCAAAGTAAGGGAGGCATTTCTACACAGGGGGGAATTTAATGACTGACCACCAATGAAGAGCAGGCAGACTACTAGTGTAAGGGGGCTTATCTCCATTGACCACCAGAGTCAGGCTGATCGAGGAAGGCAGGAAAAACAATATCACCATAGAAGTCCTCAAGAGCTACGCCGGATGTCAGGGGTGGTCTGTACGATTTACAGAATAAGCCTAAAATTGCATTACACCGAGAACAGAAGAGGAGGAGGGAGTGTCATTGTAACATACCATCCACACACTTAGAAATCCCTTTCCCTGGTGCCCTGAAACCTACCTGCCAGGATGTGGGGTGGTCTGAAGAAGTCAGAAGGCGTCCAAGTTTTTCATACAAGTTACTGAGCAGCTCAGAACCCAGCATCTCATAGACATACATGAGGGTGTCGGAGATGTCAACTCTGCAAGAGATGGACACGCGGCGTTATTCACATGCCGGGGGAAGGGCGAAACGTTTCATGATTTTATTAAATGCTCCATGGGGAGAGAGACCAGTCACTCCTGGGCCAAACACATCTGCAGACTTCACAGTATATTTACAGACGAGCAACAAAGAGAACATCCATGTGCATGATGTGAGGGGCCAAGCGCCAGAACCCGGACCTCCCACCAGAACAATTATATTATAGGTAGTTAGTATCTGCCTTCTTAGATCAGCCTGACTTTGTCACAGGTTGGCCGAACACATCTGCAGACCTCATGGTATATTTACAGACAAGCAACAAAGAGAACTTCCAAGATGAAGATGTGATGGGCCAACCACCAGAACTTGGACCCTACACCTGACCTCCCACCAGAACTATTTATCATAGGTAGGGATGCACCGATACCACTTTTTTAAGACAGAGTACGAGTACCGATACTTTTGATCAAGTACTCGCAGATACCGATTACCGATACTTTTTCTTAAAGGGACAGGTCACATTTTTTCTAAAGCAATACAAACTAATGCTTTAAGGTCACTTTCTTAATATTATGATTCATGAGATGACGAGGGAGCATGACGCCTGCTTCCCGGTCATTACACCGCGCCCGGCTTCCGGATTTGCTAGCTTCCTGGAGCCGTTTCCTGACCAATCAGGAAACCGGGCAGCGTGTAATGATGCGCTGCCCGGCTTCCTGATACAGGAAGTACTCGTGCTAGGTATTGGAGCATTTGGGCGAGTACGAGTACTCACCCAAATACTTGGTATCGGCACCGATACCGATACTAGTATCGGTGCATCCCTAATTATAGGTAGGGATGCACCGATATCGAGTATTTGGGCGAGTACTCGTACTCGCCCAAATGCTCCGATGCCTAGGCCGATACCCGAACTTCCGGTATCAGGAAGCCGGGCAGCGAGTCATCACAGGTGACGAGGGAGCATGGAGCCGGCTTACCGGCCAATCAGGAAGCCGGGCAGCGTGTAATGGCTCGCTGCCTAGCTTCCTGATTGGTCGGGAAGCTGGCCAATCAGGAAGCCGGATGGGGAGTCACAATCCGCCCTCCAGCTTCCTGATTAGCCAGAAAGCCGGCTCCATGCTTTCTCCTCACCTGGTGCTTATCAGGAAGCCAGGCGGCAAGTAATTACACGCCGCCTGGCTTCCTTAATGGGACTTCCGGTATCGGTATTCAGTATCGGCGAGTACTGAAAAAAATAATATTGGTACTCGTACTCGATATCGAAAAAACGCTAACGGTGCATCCCTAATTATAGGAATTATCTGCCGTCTCAGATCAGCCTGACTTTGTCATCCCTTGGCCGAACACATCTGCAGACCTCATGGCATATTTACAGACGAGCAACAAAGAGAACTGCCAAGTGTAAGATGTGATGGGCCAACCACCAGAACTTGGACTTTCCACCAAAACTATTCATGATGGGAAGTATCTGGAACAATCATCTGCATAATCCATGGCATCCTATCTCAAGATACCCAATGCTATGCATACACAGGACTGGACACATTGAACGCTGGCTACACTGTCATCGTATTGGGCATTATAAGAACCTTTTCTTAGATTCTCCAACGCTAGTTATTTAAAGTCTCACCCTAGGAATATTTAAGATTCAACTATGTACCTGCTGACCCACCACCTGATATTCTACATATCTCCTAAGGACTTCTATCGTTAGAGTGCTTTACCTGCCTTCTAAGATCAGCCCAACTCCATCACTCCTGTGCTGAACACTTCTGCAGACCTCGTGGTATCTTTACAGGAGAGCAACAACGAGAACTGCCAAGTAGATGATGTGAGGGGCCAACCATCAGAACCCGGACCTTCCACCTGAACTCCCACCGGGACTACTCATTATAGGAATTATCTGCCTTCTTAGATCACCCTGACTTTGTGACCCTGACCTGGGCCGTACACATCTGCAGACCTACAGAGGAGCAACAAAGGGAACTTCCGAGATTAAGATGTGAGGGGCCAACCACCAGAACCCGGACCTTCCACCTGAACTCCCACCGGGACTACTCATTATAGGAATTATCTGCCTTCTTAGATCACCCTGACCTGGGCCGGACACATCTGCAGACCTCAAGACCTACAGACGAGCAACAAAGAGAACTTCCAAGATTAAGATGTGAGGGGCCAACCACCAGAACCCGGACCTTCCACCTGAACTCCCACCGGGACTACTCATTATAGGAATTATCTGCCTTCTTAGATCACCCTGATTTTGTGACCATGACCTGGGCCGGACACATCTGCAGACCTACAGACGAGCAACAAAGAGAACTTCCAAGATTAAGATGTGAGGGGCCAACCACCAGAACCCGGACCTTCCACCTGACCCTGTTTAAAATCCAAAATACCCAAAAGAACCCTGCTTAAAATACATAGCAACCTATCTCAAGGCAGCTTTAATGTCTGTATTGCTGCTTTAGCAAACCAAATGGAGCTACTATCTCCATAGACAACACACTTCCGGACGCTCTTTCGTGTTTCAAAAGTGAAATTCATCTCCACAGCTTCGCAGGGCCGAACTAACTCATCCACAATGACTGCAGGACCCGGCATCTCAATACCATGACCGATATACCACTTACATCACCACCTGGAGTGCCGGGATCTCTCTCCAGCGTACACTATAATTCAAAGCGATTATCTCATTACACAGATTGCTGTCTGGGGGATTGCACCTCCCCAGGCACCCGGTACCCTTCCCCATCACCAACACTCTTTTGTTTTGTTCTAGATGGAGAAGAGAATGGTTGGAGTCCATGACAGTTTTACTTTGAGGTTTTGTAAGATGCCCTCTCACTTCCTGTCCTGGAGACACGATAGGAAGTAAGAGGAATTCTTCCTCTCTATAGACAGCTATCACCAGAACAGTGGTCCCCATTGGAAGATTTTCACTTGCTCACTGTTAATGTCAAGTTTTGGATTTTAATCAATGGTCTGTTCCAGTGCCAATATACATCAGGACCTACAGAAAGGGTGCCAGAGGTTCTAATCCTTCTGCAGTTTAGCTAAAGCATTATAAAAGTTCACAATCTACTGGCTACTCTAAACTATCCCTATGGCAACGATGAGCAGCAATTGGTCAGCACAGCCATGTGACCCCGACTGACCAATTAGAATCTCCCCTGAGCCTTCTTTCCTCTAGGGCGGCGCCTTAGAACAACACAAAACTTTTATATTATATAGCAACATAATGGTTGCAATGGGGAGCGGTGATTGGTCAGCACAACCATGTGACCGGGCTGACTAATCACTGCTCTCCATTGAAACCACTATGTTGCTATACATACTACTTTAACAGGTCGTGGGAGTAGCCGATAAGGGTCATCGTTACAGATAACTGACACGAGGACCAGGTGAACGGCGCGTGTTGGGAGTTAGTTCACATTTTCATTATTGTGAAAAGGTGAACTAAACCTTTAAGAAATAAAATTAAGTCCCTTCGTCAATGTACTTTGCCCAGTTTCGTGGAGCCTAGCCATATGAAGGGTCTTCCTTCCCCTCCATGTGTACACTTCCTCCTCCCAGAATACAGAACACTTAGAAATGCTGCCCCTCTCCAGGTTATAAAATTACAGAGATCCGCGTTTACAAAGTCTAATGTGGGAGCCAAACCAAAGAGGTCCAGGAGTCCAAAATATTCTAATATTACTTCACAACAAGAAAACGTAAACCATTATAGGGGGTGGGGGGAGGGAAGAGATCCCCCCCTTATTCAAAGCTATAAAACAGTTACAGAAATATTCGTACCAATATAAATTCTTATTCACTCGATTTATCTTAAAGTGACATTAAACCCTCAGATTTTTTAACATAAACCAATACTGTAATGTGCGCCTTACTGTAATACATGGTCGTTTCCCTTCTCTTTGCTGCTCTTCCTTTTAAATCCGTATCTGTTCTCATGCTCTGCAGAACTTCTGTTTTGCAGCAGACTGCCTTGTCTCCGGAATGGATACATGGTGTCTGTGTATAGGTTTGTATAGGTTTGTAACCTGAGCCAGCACTACAGGAAGAGGCACTCTGCTGCAAAGGGAAGTTCTCCCCAGCATGAGAAGACATGAGGATTTAAAAGGAAGAGCAGCAAAGAGAAGGGAAACAACCATGGGTTACAGTAAGGTGCACATTACAGTAAATGTACAACAAGCCACACTTATTTATGTACAACAGTCTACACTTATTCATGTACACAAATATGGTGATCAGGGGTACCGTACCTTTCCAAGAGCAATTTGCTAACCAATCGCTGGCCAGAATGAATGAAGCGCACTTTCGCTATCGATTCCTCACAGGCGGGGTCCCGCATTTGGTATGACTCCGCCTGTGACAGGAGCCGGCGCTATAGAGGAGGCGTCGGCTTGTGCGGCTCTGCTCCCTCCGCTGCCGCCTCGCTTCCTCTAGCGCCGGCTTCGTTGGCACCGCTGATTCTCTCCCGCGGCTCTTCAAGTTCCCCCTTATGCCACCGGCCCTGGGAATGGTCACAACTGGGTCTTATTTTCGGGGTAGGTCTTACTTACGGGGGAAACAGGGTAATTTTCAATATCTAATATCTTTAATCTAAGGGCTCTGCTTTACGTATGTGTGCATATATGTTTGTACATTGTACCCCAATACCTGTAGATTCTGAATTGTTCCTTCTCATCGGAGGACCAGGATGCGTACTCGTCATCGGCGGGGAACTGCGCCTTTTGTAACAAAACATCCACCAGCTGGAAATAGACCGGCCGGTACACCTGCAGATACACCGTCTGCTTCTCGGTCTCAAAAGACAAGATATCGTCCTGTGGGGGGAGAGAGAGGGACAGACTGAGAATGACCCATGTAATGGACTTAGTATGATGAACCGCTGGACTTGAGGTTTCGTGGCGGTTCTGGATGAATCGGATGATTGGGTGGTATGTCAGATTTCCTTTCCCATAGGGACCCTGATGGGGAAGTCAGCTTAAAAAAATCTGGCGGTGTATTAAAGCTTGAGAGCTAACACGCTTGGGGGGGGGGTTACGCACAAATTCTCCTTCATCATGGATCCCTTAGGAAAAAGAATCCCTTACAGGAATTACAAAGTGCGGCTTTATCTCAGCCATACTGCTGATTTTTTTTACTGCTGCACATTTGTAAAGCACATCAATGCACTTTATAGAGATGCTTAGCATCCCCTCAGCTTTGGGACTCTGAAGCCCGCAGAGCACTTATAAATGAATGTAGTGTGCGCATGTGTGAAAAAAATAAATAAATCAGGACCTGTCAGACACATGACCAGCTGTCCTCCAATCACAGGAATCCCTCTGCTGCGTTAAGTATAGAGTAAGGGTACCACAGGCTTTTATACCAAGATCTGCATTTTATGAATGGGCTATGCAAGCAAAGACAAAAGAACGGCGCCATCTCCTCTTTGATATACCGTTCTTTTGTCTTTCCGGAGGCTTCCCAACCTTCCACAGCCCCCTCTGTGCCATCACATTGATGTCCGTTCCTTGAGCATTCCCTTCATATGATGTTGCGAGATCTCCACCAAGCACTGACATATTGGAAAATACGTCTTTATGAATGGGCTGTAGAAAAGGTGGGCTGCCTTGTGTATAGAGATGTCCACTCTTTGTGATAAAAGAGACACCCCCCCAAGTATTTTCTTTACAGGGAAACTTTATGTCTTAAGTCATTCCAATGAGTCGCTGTAAGGCAAACTTGTAGGGGACGTTCACAGACACAAGTCGGGGTTACCCGGGAGCCCTGATGAAGGAGGATAATGATGACAAGAAGAAGTAAGCACACAAACCTGCAGCGTGTACCAGAAGGTCAGCGTGAGGGAGCTCGTTGTTTCGTTGACTGGATAATGGCCCGGAATACCGGTGCAGAACATGATCATATTAACCAATGCAAGAAAGCTTTGCCAGTGATCCACCTGATCCAAGAGAGCCCTGTGACAGAGATGACACGCAGTTATTCGGGGTCCACGGAAAGCAATAGTGTGGACGACGCTCAGACTGACCTACGACTTGGGGTTTGTGATCTCTACGTACCGCGAATGGTTCTCTCCGAGCGCCACTATAATTCGGCAGATGCCGTGCGAGGTCTCGATGTCGCCGTTCTGTACGGCTTGCTGCAGTTGTTCCTGTAGGCCGAGCGCCTGGGGGATGAGCTTCAGGAGCGTGTTGACGTACCTGCAGAGGGAAAGAAGGAATATTACACAGAGGGAGACAAACATTAAGGGCTCATTCACACTAGAATCAGCCGGCACGTACAGCTGCGTGCACGGCCGTATCGGGCAGCTCCCGGGAAGGACAGGCGATTAGTACGCAGCCCCTGTCCTTCTCTATGGGACTACACGGCCATACGCTGCAAGTGCAGGTCCATAAGGGTGTGTGTGTCCCGGCTCGGACGCAAACAGGATCCATCCCATCAGCGTACGAATACGCTCACCCGCACCCGAAAGGACGCCGGGGTGAGTGTATGGCCATGTAGTCCCACAGAGAAGGACGGGGGCTGCGTACTAATCACACGCAGCAACTGTCCTTCCCGGGAGCTGCCCCATACAGCCGTGCACGCAGCACGGAGCTGTACGTGCCGGCCTTTTCTCGTGTGAATGAGCCCTAAATGTCATCACTTGTCAGATTTGAAAAATAAAACCCCCCCTATGCGAACCAGCAGAACCGCCGTCATGACCGTGCAATTTTGGGACACAGACATAGCACCTCCCAATTGTGTTCTATCCACATGTCTAAATTAACATTAAGAAGAAGATAGTAAGCCCCTCCGCACTCCTTACAGCGCTCCCGGCCCAAGTAACTGTAGCGGTGCCCGCAGTGACAATCGCGGATGGCGCTGTGCAATAAACAGTAGAAAGCAGGAATCGCCAGCACTCAGCAAATATCTTTGATGTCCATTTAAATCGGACCAATCGTCGCATACATAACGACGCTTCGGGACCGCACAGGGTCCCTTCATCAGGGCGACAATGTAACGATGTCGCCCTGATGAAGGGACCTTGTGCGGCCCCGAAACGTTGTTTTGTATGCGACGATTAGTCCGATTAAATAGACATCAAAGATATTTGCTTTCTAAATTAACATTAATACATCAGGTTTTGTTTCCCCGAGCTCCCCCCTCCTCCCCCCGTAAAAAGGTTTATTAGCGCGGCAGCATTGTCCCCCCGAGGACAGGGCGGTCTCAGATTATATCGCACAATATTTGTGCTACTGTTTAACAAATCTGTACCTTCAGTCGGGTGAACAGATACCAAAATATCTCACAACAGCGAGACTCTACAGCACCCAAAATGATCAGAAATTACACTTCAAATGACATTGCAGGTCACCAGTTGAGAGTTCACTGCAAATAAAGGATCCTGAATTATGTCTCTCACTCCGGCATGAGCGGCAACACCCAATATGTGTTGTAAAATCGATCTTTATGTACATGTCCGCACCCCATGCACGCCTGCGTCTACGTCTGCGTCACTTCATCCCTCTCTCCTGTTAGGGTTACGGTTTTTCCTACTTTACTAATCAGACACCATTGAGCAGGAGCTGTGCAAAGCAGCCCCCCCCCCGCCCCCCGCCCCCTGCAATCGGCACCAATAAAAACTCCAGTGTGTTTCTTTAGTGCTACGTTCACACTGGAGCGACCCGTGACCGCGCAGCATTCGTGAACGAAACCGCATGGTCACGGAAATGAACACCACCGCCGACCGCGCTTGCGGTGCCATTATTTTCTAATTAGAACCCCAGTCGCGCCAGGCAGACTGCTCGGTTTCCAGCCACGATACCACCCGTGCAATCGCGGCCCAAAAAAACGCGTGTTGCAAAAAGGAGGTACATGTACCTTTTTTCAGCGATTGCCACGTGGATATAACCCCATTAAAAACAATAGGGCCTCACGGCAATCACTGTGTGCAATCGTGCACTCTCACGCGGTCCCGGGATCGCCGATATCTGAACCTGGCCCGAGTGCTACGTTTGTGCCGTAAAAAATTTACATTTGCGCTACGTTTATTTTTAAGATTAATAGCAATTGGTTTTTTGAAAGATGATGACATCACCCAGCCCCGCCTACAACAGGCAAAAGACATGAACCCGGCTGGATGGTCAGTACCAAGTTTGTGCCGTTGTGCCTATCTCCTTTCATTTTGGAGTTATTAACTACAGCGGGGCCCCTGTGTCCCCCCCCCACATATGGTATATCCTGGGAACATTTTCTTCGTCCTCTCCCTGACCTTGTTATAAACGCATCCCGTATGCTCGAGCTACAGCCAGGCATCCTGGCATACTGGCATCCAGTGCAAGCGATGCAGCAAATACTGCAATGACACTCTCAGAGGTCGATGGTCTTTTTTCAGCCATTTTGCCCACACGTGAAGCCGAGTTCATGATTGACAGAACTGAAATCCAATGAATGAAAGGAGTGGGGCCAGGGACTGTGAGGCCGGGGAGAAAAAAGCTAGAGGACACTGGACATATTCCAGCCAGAAAATGGGGAAAAGGAAAGAGGGGAGGACGGAGCTCAGATAGAAGACTGAAGGGGAGGACGGAGCTCAGATAGGAGACTGAAGGGAAGGACGGAGCTCAGATAGAAGACTGAAGGGGAGGACGGAGGACAGATAGAAGACTGAAGGGGAGGACGGAGCTCAGATAGAAGACTGAAGGGGAGGACGGAGCTCAGATAGAAGAGTGAAGGGGAGGACGGGGGTCAGATATGAGACTGAAGGGAAGGACAGAGGTCAGATATGAGACTGAAGGGAAGGACGGAGGTCAGATAGAAGACTGAAGGGAAGGACGGAGGTCAGATAGAAGACTGAAGGGGAGGACGGAGGTCAGATAGAAGACTGAAGGGAATGGCCAATTAGGAAGCCTGGAGGCAGGTCACAGCCCACCGACCCGGCTTACCAATTGTAAAGGAAGCCGGCTTCATGCTCCCTCAGAGGTAAGTACAAGAACTCGCCCAAACACTCGGTATCGGTGCATCCCCATGAAGTATACAATAAACATTGGCAGGAGCCCTGAGGAAGCCGAGACCTAAACATTGTATCTTTGTACCAGAGAGCCTCAGGAAGGATACAACGTATCACTTTCCTCTCACAGAGGGGAGGTTCTTCCTCCCAGTCATCTCTATGATTGGCTATCACAGTCATCAGCCAATCAGGAGCCGGTCACTTAAGAGTCCAGGACCGGACAGCTCCCGGTCTCGGCACCGCAGGATAAAATCATGCGTTACAGCAGGATGGGCTACTGGAACGCATGCTGACCGGCTCCCTGCATTCTGGGGCATGGCATTCAAGTCAATGGCACAGCAGCCCCAACCCTCCGGGCATCTGACACTCCCTGAAGTGTCGAATGTTGAAGTGAGTGATGGAACGGAGGGCAGGCAGGCAGGAGGCGCGGTACACCGGGGATAGTATAATACCCCTTTTTATGCAACTTTATTTGGATTTTTGGCCCTCATTCACAGTAGAAACGGCCGGCACGTACAGCTCCGGGCAAGGCCGTATCGGGCAGCTCCCGGGAAGGACAAGTGCTGCGTGTGATTAGTACGCAGCCCCCCGGAGTACGCGGCCGTACGCCGCCCCACGCTCACAGGCCTCCACGTCCTTGCGGGTGTCCGTACTCGTACGCTGACAGGATGGAACCTGCCTGCGTCCGAGCCGGGACACCCGCACCCGTACGGACCTGCACTTGAGGTGAGCGTAGGGCGGCGTAGTCCAATAGAGAAGGACGGGGGATGGGTACTAATCACACGCAGCGCCTGTCCTTCCCGGGAGCTGCCCGATACGGCCGTGCATGCAGCAACGGGGCTGTACGTGCCGGACGATTCTCATGTGAATGAGGCCTAACCCTGACAAGTAGGAGAAGTAATCGGCTCCGCGTGACATTCCCCCGATAAGAAATGCGACTCTAGTGATGCGCGGCGCAGATTCTGACCTTTGCGCATCCGGCTGAGAGATGGTATTGACTAAGGCTTCCACGGCGGCATCAAACAGTTCAGGATCCCGCAGGGCGTTGAACGCGGCCAGCGTCAGTTCCTCGCACTCAGTCAGCGGGATGCCCAGCTGGGCCCAGCTGGAGAAACATTTCAGCACTTTCTGTTTGACAAAACCCGGGGAGTCGCTCTGCTGCAGCAACTGGCGCAGCAGCGGGAAGATGCAGGCGGACTCCTGCGCCAGGCAGCTGCGCACTTGTCCCTTGCGGAAGGGCGGGAGGCGGCTGGTCTGGAACTCCTCCGGCAGAACGGTCAGCAGCTCCAGGAGCGCCAGGCAGCGGGCCCGGCCGTCGGTCTGCCCGTCCTCCGCCTGGAACGCCCGCACCATGTCCGGAACGGCGCGGGGCCACTGGTCCGGCATCATGTTGAGCGCCAGGGAAGCCAGGGCCACGCAAAGTCTCGTCAGCACGATCTTGGAGCCGCCGGCGAAGGCGGAGATCTGGGTGAAGAGTTGCGACTTCAGCGACTCGTACTGGTCCGTCGGGATGTCCCCCCAGTAGCGCGAGATCTTGATGTGCAGGGCGCTGGCCCCAAAGTACTGGATTTCGGGCACCTTGCCCCCGCTCAGCAGCTGCCAGCTGAACTGCCATGCCTGGGGCGACACCTGTGCTTGCATCAGCCATTTCTGAGCCAGGTTCTTGTTCTCAATGTTGGGGTCGTAGTACAACTGGTGCAGAGCCTGCGAGGGGAAGAGAAGAAAAAACAATGCAATAAACTATCAACACACAAAGAATGTATCAATTACACTCGACACACGACAACGGCGGAAAGTACCAAATGTGTTTTATCTCAACATCTCAAGTGACACCAGACTGGATAGAGCAAGGAGTCTTCTATCTGACCTCCGTCCTTCCCTTCAGTCTTCCATCTGACCTCCGTCCTCCCCTTCGGTCTTCTATCTGACCTCCGTCCTCCTCTTCAGTCTCCTATCTGACCTCCGTCCTCCTCTTCAGTCTCCTATCTGACCTCCGTCCTCCTCTTCAGTCTCCTATCTGACCTCCGTCCTCCTCTTCAGTCTCCTATCTGACCTCCGTCCTCCTCTTCAGTCTCCTATCTGACCTCCGTCCTCCTCTTCAGTCTCCTATCTGACCTCCGTCCTCCTCTTCAGTCTCCTATCTGACCTCCGTCCTCCTCTTCAGTCTCCTATCTGACCTCCGTCCTCCTCTTCAGTCTCCTATCTGACCTCCGTCCTCCTCTTCAGTCTCCTATCTGACCTCCGTCCTCCTCTTCAGTCTCCTATCTGACCTCCGTCCTCCTCTTCAGTCTCCTATCTGACCTCCGTCCTCCTCTTCAGTCTCCTATCTGACCTCCGTCCTCCTCTTCAGTCTCCTATCTGACCTCCGTCCTCCTCTTCAGTCTCCTATCTGACCTCCGTCCTCCTCTTCAGTCTCCTATCTGACCTCCGTCCTCCTCTTCAGTCTCCTATCTGACCTCCGTCCTCCTCTTCAGTCTCCTATCTGACCTCCGTCCTCCTCTTCAGTCTCCTATCTGACCTCCGTCCTCCTCTTCAGTCTCCTATCTGACCTCCGTCCTCCTCTTCAGTCTCCTATCTGACCTCCGTCCTCCTCTTCAGTCTCCTATCTGACCTCCGTCCTCCTCTTCAGTCTCCTATCTGACCTCCGTCCTCCTCTTCAGTCTCCTATCTGACCTCCGTCCTCCTCTTCAGTCTCCTATCTGACCTCCGTCCTCCTCTTCAGTCTCCTATCTGACCTCCGTCCTCCTCTTCAGTCTCCTATCTGACCTCCGTCCTCCTCTTCAGTCTCCTATCTGACCTCCGTCCTCCTCTTCAGTCTCCTATCTGACCTCCGTCCTCCTCTTCAGTCTCCTATCTGACCTCCGTCCTCCTCTTCAGTCTCCTATCTGACCTCCGTCCTCCTCTTCAGTCTCCTATCTGACCTCCGTCCTCCTCTTCAGTCTCCTATCTGACCTCCGTCCTCCTCTTCAGTCTCCTATCTGACCTCCGTCCTCCTCTTCAGTCTCCTATCTGACCTCCGTCCTCCTCTTCAGTCTCCTATCTGACCTCCGTCCTCCTCTTCAGTCTCCTATCTGACCTCCGTCCTCCTCTTCAGTCTCCTATCTGACCTCCGTCCTCCTCTTCAGTCTCCTATCTGACCTCCGTCCTCCTCTTCAGTCTCCTATCTGACCTCCGTCCTCCTCTTCAGTCTCCTATCTGACCTCCGTCCTCCTCTTCAGTCTCCTATCTGACCTCCGTCCTCCTCTTCAGTCTCCTATCTGACCTCCGTCCTCCTCTTCAGTCTCCTATCTGACCTCCGTCCTCCTCTTCAGTCTCCTATCTGACCTCCGTCCTCCTCTTCAGTCTCCTATCTGACCTCCGTCCTCCTCTTCAGTCTCCTATCTGACCTCCGTCCTCCTCTTCAGTCTCCTATCTGACCTCCGTCCTCCTCTTCAGTCTCCTATCTGACCTCCGTCCTCCTCTTCAGTCTCCTATCTGACCTCCGTCCTCCTCTTCAGTCTCCTATCTGACCTCCGTCCTCCTCTTCAGTCTCCTATCTGACCTCCGTCCTCCTCTTCAGTCTCCTATCTGACCTCCGTCCTCCTCTTCAGTCTCCTATCTGACCTCCGTCCTCCTCTTCAGTCTCCTATCTGACCTCCGTCCTCCTCTTCAGTCTCCTATCTGACCTCCGTCCTCCTCTTCAGTCTCCTATCTGACCTCCGTCCTCCTCTTCAGTCTCCTATCTGACCTCCGTCCTCCTCTTCAGTCTCCTATCTGACCTCCGTCCTCCTCTTCAGTCTCCTATCTGACCTCCGTCCTCCTCTTCAGTCTCCTATCTGACCTCCGTCCTCCTCTTCAGTCTCCTATCTGACCTCCGTCCTCCTCTTCAGTCTCCTATCTGACCTCCGTCCTCCTCTTCAGTCTCCTATCTGACCTCCGTCCTCCTCTTCAGTCTCCTATCTGACCTCCGTCCTCCTCTTCAGTCTCCTATCTGACCTCCGTCCTCCTCTTCAGTCTCCTATCTGACCTCCGTCCTCCTCTTCAGTCTCCTATCTGACCTCCGTCCTCCTCTTCAGTCTCCTATCTGACCTCCGTCCTCCTCTTCAGTCTCCTATCTGACCTCCGTCCTCCTCTTCAGTCTCCTATCTGACCTCCGTCCTCCTCTTCAGTCTCCTATCTGACCTCCGTCCTCCTCTTCAGTCTCCTATCTGACCTCCGTCCTCCTCTTCAGTCTCCTATCTGACCTCCGTCCTCCTCTTCAGTCTCCTATCTGACCTCCGTCCTCCTCTTCAGTCTCCTATCTGACCTCCGTCCTCCTCTTCAGTCTCCTATCTGACCTCCGTCCTCCTCTTCAGTCTCCTATCTGACCTCCGTCCTCCTCTTCAGTCTCCTATCTGACCTCCGTCCTCCTCTTCAGTCTCCTATCTGACCTCCGTCCTCCTCTTCAGTCTCCTATCTGACCTCCGTCCTCCTCTTCAGTCTCCTATCTGACCTCCGTCCTCCTCTTCAGTCTCCTATCTGACCTCCGTCCTCCTCTTCAGTCTCCTATCTGACCTCCGTCCTCCTCTTCAGTCTCCTATCTGACCTCCGTCCTCCTCTTCAGTCTCCTATCTGACCTCCGTCCTCCTCTTCAGTCTCCTATCTGACCTCCGTCCTCCTCTTCAGTCTCCTATCTGACCTCCGTCCTCCTCTTCAGTCTCCTATCTGACCTCCGTCCTCCTCTTCAGTCTCCTATCTGACCTCCGTCCTCCTCTTCAGTCTCCTATCTGACCTCCGTCCTCCTCTTCAGTCTCCTATCTGACCTCCGTCCTCCTCTTCAGTCTCCTATCTGACCTCCGTCCTCCTCTTCAGTCTCCTATCTGACCTCCGTCCTCCTCTTCAGTCTCCTATCTGACCTCCGTCCTCCTCTTCAGTCTCCTATCTGACCTCCGTCCTCCTCTTCAGTCTCCTATCTGACCTCCGTCCTCCTCTTCAGTCTCCTATCTGACCTCCGTCCTCCTCTTCAGTCTCCTATCTGACCTCCGTCCTCCTCTTCAGTCTCCTATCTGACCTCCGTCCTCCTCTTCAGTCTCCTATCTGACCTCCGTCCTCCTCTTCAGTCTCCTATCTGACCTCCGTCCTCCTCTTCAGTCTCCTATCTGACCTCCGTCCTCCTCTTCAGTCTCCTATCTGACCTCCGTCCTCCTCTTCAGTCTCCTATCTGACCTCCGTCCTCCTCTTCAGTCTCCTATCTGACCTCCGTCCTCCTCTTCAGTCTCCTATCTGACCTCCGTCCTCCTCTTCAGTCTCCTATCTGACCTCCGTCCTCCTCTTCAGTCTCCTATCTGACCTCCGTCCTCCCCTTCAGTCTCCTATCTGACCTCCCCTTCAGTCTCCTATCTGACCTCCATCCACCCTGCTTTAAGGGTTTGCTTTGCTTGTCGTGTTTTGCATGCGTGTGTGAAGCATCTTTCGAGGCATTTTGGGTGCAGCCGATGAATTCTGAGTTGGGTCGCGTCTGTGCGTTATCCCGTTCTTCTGCACTTCAACTGCTTTTATCACTCAGAGGGAATAAAGGCGATCGCACTCCGCGGACCTTCTCCAATCATCAATTTTATTGTAGCTATCTATAACACATCGTATAACATCCAATCCTTGCGCGCCAAAGCTCTCACGCGTTTCACCTTCACGACGTAATCATAGCTCTACCATTAAGCCGTGAAGGTGAAACGCGTGAGAGCTTCGGCGCGCTCGGAGGGATGTTATACGATGCGTTATAGATAGCTACATTAAAATTGATGATTGGAGAAGGTCCGCGGCGTGCGATCGCCTTTATTCCCTCTATATGTGTCTGGCAACGGTGAGCCAGTTCGGGCCGGACCCCCGGGACTGTACCGTGTTGTTCAGCCGCGTACACGGAATTCGGCGTTTTTCTCACGAAACGTTTGCTTTTTTATCCCTCGCTACAGAAATGTGATATCAAAGTCATCATTAAAAAATGCATCCGGAAAAGGGATCGATTTTCCCTAAGCCCTGGTTCACACCTGAACGTTTTGTAGCGCGTTCTACGCTCGACGAACGCTCTACAAAACGCTCAAACATCTAAATCCCATTGTATTGAATGGGTCTGGTTCCCACCTCGGCGTATCTCCGGCGTATCTCCGCCCGTCCCTAACGCGCTACAAAACGGCCCACCCCTGAAAAGGTACAGGTACTACTTTGGGCTGTTTTTGTTGCGCGTTTCCATTGGGATGCAGCCAAGTAGCCCTCGTAAACGCGCGTTTGTCGCGCGATTTTTTTACCGCGGATCGCGGTAAAAAAAACGCGCAACAGACGCACATATGCAATACGCCTAGGTGTGAACCAGGGCTAAAACCAGCTTTGTTGTCTCCGCACGCAGTCCGGTGCACACGATCCCTATAGATGGGAGGGAGGGAGGCCGGCCTATGGCCAACCTCTGCTTTCAGCTGCTTCCCCTAATGAGCACATTCAGCTTGATGATCACTGACAGGAAGTCTGCCAGGTGCAGGAAGAACCTCTCCTCCCCGCCAGCATCGCGATTCAGTCAGTTCTGATCGGATCCCGGGGCTCAGGAACGCGGACGATCCGCTAACATTATCAGCTACCTCATGCGCGCGGAGGCGTCGGCGTTCCATTCCTTTCCACCTTCCAAGTGCAAAAAACCCCCCCCCCGAGTGAGACTGCGAACGGCACGTTCTAAAAATAAAGCGTGGCGACACGCTACATACCATTAGCGTGCGTTCAGTAATAAGCCCGGATTGATTTTTTTTTCCACTGAGTGCATCTCGGAGGAGCGCCGGCCCGGGTTACATCCCCCCCTGCGGGCCATTCATGGCAGCTCTAGGAAGGTGACACAGCTGCTGCGATCCCTCGAGGGCCCAGCAACGTCGTGTCATGTTGCATCAGGTTCTACCACCTGGGGACACCCAACACCTAGAGACCGTATCCACAGCTGGGACTCCTCGCTCAGCTTAATGAATAATGACTTGCTGTGCAAGAACTAGAACTGTGTTGGAACACAGGAACAGGGGCACATAGGCTTCATGGCCAAGAGGTTTATGGGCACCTAGTATGCGGCCAAAATGTGGACATCCCTCCAAGTGATGGAGTCCAGATGTTTCCAGCCTGTTAATACCACAACATACAAAATGCATTGTAGACAATTGTGCTCTTTAAACCTTGTGGCGACAATCTGGTAAAGACCCTTTTCTGTTCCACCATGACCATCCCCTGTGTACAAGGCCAGCTCCATAAATACACGGTGTGACCAGCTTGGGGTGGAGGAACTTGAGTGTTCCGCACAGAGCCCTGACCTCAACCCAACTGAACACCATTGGGATGAATTGGAACAACGATTGTAAGCCGGGTCTTCTCACCCAATATCAGGAGCTGACCTTATAAATGGGCACACATGGTGCTCGTCCAGCCTTGTGGTCACAGTTTGGTGAAGACCCTTTTCTGTTCCACCATGACTGTTCCCCATGTACAAGTCCAGCTCCATAAAAGACACGGTGTGACCAGCTTGGGGTGGAGGAACTTGAGCGTCCTGCACGGAGCCCTGACCTCAACCCAACTGAACACCATTGTGATTAATTGGAACGATTGTAAGCCCGGCCTTCTCATCCAACATCAGGAGCTGACCTCACAAATGGGCACACATGGTGCTCGTCCAGCCTTGTGGTAACAGTTTGGTGAAGACCCTTTTCTGTTCCACCATGACTGTCCCCTGTGTACAAGTCCAGCTCCATAAAAGACACGGTGTGACCAACTTGGGGTGGAGGAACTTGAGCGTCCTGCACGGAGCCCTGACCTCAACCCTACTGAACACCTCTGGGATGAATTGGAACGCGGGTTGTGAGCCAGGTCTTCTCATCCAACATCACTACTTGACCTCACAAATGGGTACACATGGTGTTCTTCCAGCCTTGTGGTAACAGTTTGGTGAAGACCCTTTTCTGTTCCACCATGACTGTCCCCCGTGTACAAGGCCAACTCCATAAAGACCTGGTGTGACCAGTCTGGTGTGGAGGAACTCGAGTGTCCTGCACAGAGCCCTGACCTCAACCCTACTGAACAGCTTTGGGATAAATGAGAACGCTGATTGTGAGCCGGGTATTCTCATCAGTACCTGACCTCAGAAAAGGACACAAATTCAAACAAACAACCTCCAAAATTGTGTGCAAAGTCTTCCCAGAAGAATGGAGGATGTCCTAGCCAAGGGGGACAAATCCATATTAATGCCAATTTTTTGGAATGAGATGTTCAACAAGCTCATATTGACGTGATTGTCAAATTTAGACTTCTGGCCATATAGTGTATGCAGACTTGTCACACTGTAAATGGGCCACGAGATCATGGTCACCATTGATAAATGAAAGTCTTCTCATGAATGATAGATGGCGTGGAGGCTTTTATGGCTGCAAATGGGGGCAACCTCCATTATTAATGGCCGTGGTTTTAGAATGGGATGTCCAACAAGCTCGTATAGGTGTGACGGTCAGGGGTCCACAAACATCTGCTCACATATGTTACACTACTCCGACCGATCAAACTACTAATAACCGTACCGAAATGTCCGTGTTTTGGGGGTCACGCAAATCCCAACAAAAGCACGATAAATAACCCGTTACCATTGGCTCTCACCAGTTCTAAACCCCCCTGAGGCAGCAAGAGAGTCTCACGATCAAGTGACTACTACGATTGGCTGCCGCAGCCGTCACGTGATCGGCTGTCCATCCTACCAGCTCCCCATTGTAAACAGTGACCGAGAGACATCAGTGTGCGGGGATCAGAGCGGGGAGGGGGGAATCCAGCCACTCCCGTCACGGCAGAGAGCAGTGACAGGATCGAGAGGTGAGCGAACGCCGGTATGTGATCGCTCACCTCCCGATCTACTGAGCCGACCTGTGACAGTCTCATTGTCGCAGGTCGGCTAGAACTATGAGGTGAGTGAAAAGCCCCTCCCCCCCATAGTTCTCCTTTAAATACTCCTGTGATAACACTACAAGGCCTGGCTGTCATGCTGATCGAGCGGCTTCAGTACTATCCAAGCCTATGCAGATTCGGAGTTCTACATGTTCTGATCCGTGTGAACGCCCCGGGACGCTGTTAGACTTTCTACACCGTCTCCCAAACAGGCTGCCGTGCCCTGCAAAGTGCTACCAATCTAACCTATTTCATAGTTACATAGTTACATAGTATTTGAGGTTGAATAAAGACATTAGTCCATCAAGTCCAACCTATTAGGATCTCATTCTAGGAGTACCTGTACCCCTGTATATTACGGTCCCTTAAGAAATCGTCCAAAAGTTTAGCAGCGCCGGTGTAACCCCCAAATGATTGTTACGTCTGTAGAGCGGCAGCGGTCCGCATTCAGGGTTCCCCGCTGTGTCATTTATTCCGATATTCGCACAAATCCGGCAG